CGAGCAAAAATCGTGTTTATATAAAAAATAATCACACGTACGCTTTATAATAAAAATCGTTAGTAGAACCAAAGTTCATCATTTACTGAGCGAATTTAGCAATTCTATGCAATGCTTCTAGAAAAAAATAGTTCTTATTATCTGGCATATCTCTAACTGTGAAGTCAGTATGATTACACTTGAAAAAAGCATTAAGTTATTATTAATGTATGGCGCAGGGTTATCATCAAAAGTTATTTAGGAATCGTATTGTTCATAAATAATATAAATAAGAATCAGGCGAAAGGTTTAGATAAAATTGTAATTAAGCTATTGCTGTCGTATGGTCAGCGAAAGTTTATGACGCAGAACAACTATGTTTTGCCTCAGTCGATGCTATTACAAATTCTAATAGTAAAATTTATGCAAATCCGTTATATAATCGATTTTTGATAATTTTTAATGGCATGTAACACCGTTACGGATCGTCGTAGAGGTGGTAGCAATAGGAAATTTATAATTAATAAAATAAATACCTTAAATTAATAACCTTTGCGTCATAATGCATTATTTAGGTCATCTAAAGGAACAGGAGCAACGCTAATTTTCTAATTTTAAAACCTTTATAAAAAGATTAAATTGATACTTTTCATTATAATCAAACGTATACATTATACATGTCATCTAATTATTATTCCGAGGTTATTCAAGATTTTGAAAGTGCTCTTGAAGATAGTGACGACTATAATGTAATCATCAAGGCTGGAGAACATCCTGATGTCAAGGAACTTCGAGCGCATTCATTTGTTCTTCGTGCGAGGTGTTCATACTTTAAAAGGGCATTATCCAAAAGTTGAGAGAAAAAAAACGATGAAGGTGACTATATTTTTGAAAAATCAAATATCTCTCCTGAAGTGTTCAAATTAATTCTAAGGCAAGTAAAATAAAAAATTTTATCTTGTTTAAATAATAAATCATAAAATTATTCACATGTTTAAAATTTTTACTAGGTATTTATACACGGGAACTGTAGATTATGATCAACTCCATCAGAATGTAATTTTGCAATTGTCAGTTGCGGCGGATGAATTAGGATTGAGTAATTTGATTGAACGCATTCAGGAACATTTGATCGAAAATCAAGAATTTTTACGCGAGGACCCCGTTGGCACACTTGAATTCGTTTATCAGCATGAAACATTAAAAACCCAAAAAGATTGTTGTCTCGATATCATTTGCTCAGAACCGAGAATTCTCTTTACATCTCAACAATTTTCATCTTTGGAAAAACCAATTATTACCATGGTACTTGAAAGAGATGACCTTAATATGGAAGAAATTGATATATGGGAAGCACTACTTAGATGGCTTTTTGTTCATTACCTAAAAATCGGTAAAGATGATTCTGAATGGTCATCAAAAGATTTAAAAAATGTTAAACAGACTATACAAGAGTATATTCCGTTAATCAGGTTCTATGATATTTCCAAGGAAGACTTTTACTTAAAAGTGTATCCATATAAAGACCTCTTACCTCAAAATTTGCTCAGTGATATCCTTCGTTATCATATGGTCCCAAATTCTACTCCTGCGTTGAGTTTCAAACCTTCTAGGAATCAAAAGATTGATTCTGTATTGGTTAATTATTATTTAATTAAACTTTTTGCGAAGTGGATTGAAAAAAGAAGTGAATACTATGTAACAAAAGTTCCATATGAATTTAATCTTCTTCTTCGTGGTACTAGGGATGGTTTTTATTCTGCAAAATATCACCAATTATGTGATGACAAGGGCGCCACTTTATTTGTTACAAGGGTTAAAGATTCAAAACAAATTATTGGTGGTTATAATCCTTTAAACCAGAATAAGAGTCAGCACGGGGAATATTCAAATACAGGTGATAGTTATTTGTTTAATATAACAGACAGCAACAACCTCGATTCTGCAAAACTAGGTCGTGTTTTTCAAAACCAACAATATGCAATAAGATATAACAATGATTATGGACCAATTTTTGGTGGTGGACATGATTTATGTGGACAAGGAAATAATTGGAATGCTATTGGTGGAAACACATACACTAACATCAACATTCCAAGCAGTTTCACCATTGATGAATATGAAGTATTTCAGGTTGTAAGGAAGGGCTAATTTCAAAATAAAAGAAAAGATTTTTTGATGATAGTTTGTTTGATAGAAATTGAGATAGAAATCTCATTAATTATGACATTTTGATTTTTACAGAGCAGTTTGAATTACAAGTTTAATAATTATAGCCAAGTAAATTAAATCGTATTACAAATAAAGAAAATATGTTACTTCGGATCGCTTTTGATTAATTAATGTCTTAAACAATTATTTAAGGTTTCTCTGATAATTACAGGGGTTGAGTTAGCTTTTTATTTTTTTAATATGATCATTTTCTAATTTGAATTTATTTTTATTTCGTTTTGCAAGAATAATTCATTCATTCGTCAAAATCACATTTGTAAATGTGTCAATACTTCTAAATATCAGCAAAAATTTATGATTATTTTACCAGCACGAAATAATCGTCATAAATTATTTAGTAAAGATACATTGATGTATCAGACATTCAAATCAATTATTTCATAATCTTCTCTTTACATATGAATAATGCGCATTTACTCCTAAACCGAGCGCAAGTTATTGAATTATTAGAAAAATGAATTCAGATCTATCAGGATTTTTAGATTTTCTATCGTAAATATGTTACGCTTAAAATTGACTCTCCAAAACTCTATTTCTTTTCAGCTATGTCAGCTATAATATTAAGGGGTTTCGGCTTAGAAACCTTAGTTACGACTATTGCAATGAATTAATGAGAACATTTTTTAATAAAATTTCTCATAAAACAATAATGAATGATTGTTTTATTAAATGACAATCCTGGCTTGTATAGTCGCGTCGGCAACCGATTCAAATTACATAGTAATTTATATATAAAATTTATTTTCTGGATCTTACAATTAAAATGGTTCTCGCATTTTAAGCTCCCCAAGTTAAAATATTTTTTTTTTAAAAAATATGACTAATTAGCTGCAAACTTTAGAGACAATTATTAAAAGAAATATAAATTTATATGCAGCCGAAATTGTCCATTTTTATATGTATGAATTTTTTTTTGGATCTAAAACATATAGGAAAAATCTTTTTATACATTACAATTAAAATAGTTTATGCATTTAAAATTTTCTACTGATTAAAACCTTTTTTTAAAGAAATACAACCAACTGGCTTTAAAATTTAGAAATAATTATTAAAGTAAATACTAATATGTATATAAACTTGAAAATTTCTATTCTTTATATTTTTATTGTAAAATTGGAGCGACTTACATACATTATTGCATTGGGAACACGCTCTTTTGTATCCATCATATCATTTTTTGTTTCTTTTCTTTTAAATGTAATTTATTATAAATCAAATATCTTTATGAATCAAAACAATCTTCCAAAAATAGTTATGGCTTATAACAAATACGAAAGCTGCAGGTTGTAGTTTAGAAATTTATGAATTGGTTCTAAAAGGTTCGCGATCTAAATCCATGCTTGATACTTATATTTGAAATAAATGAATAAGAGAAAAATTTCTCGAGACCTCCGTAAAAAGTTCCACTTCAACAGCAGCATCACATCAATTAAAATTATTTCCTCTTAACATTTAAAACCTTCTAATATTCCACCTTCTATAAGCGTTTGATATCAACAAATATTATTTATGAAACCTTTTACAGATATAGGGTGATACTTGAAAAGTAATGGTAGACCAGTCACGTGTGGTTATTGTTTAAAACATAACCGTCATATATCCGCACATCAATTGGCACTCCTCATTTGACTATATGATTGGGCATATATTTTAATATTCTATATATTCTATATGGGCGTTGAAAATCTTTTTAATCACGTCGAATCATCATCTTTTAGGGTTTCTTATGTAACTATTTTTATCCCTTGACCATTTAATAATTACAATGTTTCATTACTCGTTATTTCAGGACAAATAATCCTTGGTTTCATAGAGAAGCTTTAAATTCTGATTTCTTTTTTTTTTTTCATTTTTGGCAAAAATGGAATGTTCGAATGATAATACCTTGTCTTCTAATGACACGACTATTTATATGATAAAATAATCCATGGAATCAAATAATTTTTCGGCAAGAAATTTGCTTATTGAGTGTGATTAAAATAAAAAGCTGATGCTATCTAATTTTTCTTTTTAACAAAATGTTATATAAGTATAGCGATACAACCTTTCCTAATCTGAAAATAATTCGTTTCTTATATAAAAATGACAAATCATCCTAAAAAGAAATCAATAATGTTCATATCAAAGGATTGCGAAAACAAAAAGATGCAGTTATATTGAACTATTAGATAGAAAAGTTAGATATAATATATCAGTTAATTTCTAAATTTTTTAGTCGGCGGAAAAAAAAGCTGAAAATACTGTTACTATTATTATAAATGAATAAAATCAAAGGAGATTCAGCAAAAATACGTAATATAAAATTAAAGGTCGTTAGAATACACGAATTAACCATTCAGTAAAAATATGTGTTCTCAAAGAAATGCTTCCGGTGAGATTCTTACAAGGAGAGACGTTCCGGATACATTTCTCATGAAGAAAATGTTCCCAATCATGAAGTGTATCAAAGAAGAAATGTTAAGCTTTTTTTTTTTTTTACATTAAAAAAATAAAAAACTTATCTTTCTCTTTGACCAGATTCAATTCTTTTCTTCACTAAAAATACATGGTAAGCTTTTAAATAAAATAAAAATAAAAGCTTACCAATTCTCTTTTTCCTTTGGGCAGGTTTTAATTTATTTTAACTTTTTACGATCATATATATGTGAGCCAGCTCAGCTTATGCGGAGGTTTAATCATGTCCATTGATGAAGTAAAAAGATAAATCAATCATTCAAGATTATAAAGAGATTTTATAAAATGATTTTACGATTATTATACCATAATGAAAATAATAAAATATGTTGTCTTTATTGTTGTTTAATATTAAAGAATAATAAAGCTAGGCAAAAAAAAAAAGAATGAACAAAGAATTATTAAACAAAAACAAAATGTTCGAAACGAGATATTAAAATCTCCATTACATTTTTCTAAAATTGTTTTTTTTTTTAAAAAAACAAAAAAAAAAAACGTTACAATCATGAAGAGAATTAATTGAATTTAATTGAATTGAATTAATTTTAATGCGCCTACCATGATCCTTCCCAATTAATCTAGCAATTTTTTCATCTTGTTCATCTTCAAACTCAAGTGGTCGATTTCTTGTATAAGTAGCTTTAAGTACTCTAATCGCGCTATTTAAATATTTCTTTTCGGCAAATTGTTTGCGTTGATGAGCTTCTTGCATCTCACTATATCTAACATTATTTCTAAAACTTGTATTTGATTGAGTAGTTATAGAGATATAAATCCCATAATCTGATCCAAAAATCAACTCACAGCCTTTTACATGATCAAAATCAATAAGATAATTAAACCCGGGTTGAATTTCACCAATTTTATTAATTAGTCTATTATCCCTTGGAAAATATTCATCATATTCTCCTCTTCTTGTTTCATTAAAATTTTTTAAATCATTTTTAAGAGGTTGAAACCATCTTTTACAGACTGGCAAAATGGTCTTTAATGTATTCCTTTGATATTTGATGTAAATAGAGTTTTCATGATTAATAAATTTCTTTGAATTAAAAGTTTTTTGAATCAAATTGTCAAACTCATTATTACTATAAGAATGATATCCTAAATGCAAAAGAGAGGAGGAATCTATTTGTCTGTAAGGATGAGATAAAATTTTCGAACATAATGTGCGAATAAATGTATTATGTGGTTCGTCGGTAATATTGATGATTGAGTAGAAGAAAGACATTGCATTTGATTACTAAAAATTACAAGCTTTCACGTCGTGTTTAAATAGCTTTTCGTGGTTACATTTGATTTATACAGATTATTCATATTTTCAAACTTTTATTTAACGGATAAAAAGTTTCAAATTACGAATAACGTATCCGCACGGTTGGTTAGAAATTGTCAAAACAAGTTGAAAACTACGCGTTTTAGAGATTGATATTTCAATATAACGATTTAAATTTTTATAAAAATACAAAGATCTTAGGTGTCACAGTAAAATCTTATCGTTTGTGCAAGTTCTTTGTCGAACAGATGATGTCGATGTTAAAATAAAGACTCTTGTAGATCCATCCTTTTTGTTTTACCTCTCACAAAGAACTGGTGTAACGATTTTTGATTTCGATCTTCCCTTCATATGGAAATAAGTCCATTTTTAGTTAATAAGCTTTAAAATTACCAAACATGTACCGTATGTTTTATTATTGCAGAAAAAGAATAAGGAAATGTTGGAAATGTTATTAATGCTATCACTGTGTCGTATCCAGTTTACCTGAATGCCGATTATGGTTGAATTCCGGGAATTTGATGATTTGATTTTTTTGATTTATCCCACAAAATTTACCCGCGTTATGTTTTGCAGGTCCCACCATTTTTGTATTCCTTTTAAAGTTAATTACAAACCAACTATAATGACGAATTGGTTAAAGAAATCATTTCCTAAAACAATATAAATACCGTAAAGCGCGCTCTATAGTACCCCCCTGTGTATAATGACCCCCCTCCTTCTGGAGCAGCTTAGAATGTAAAAT